GGGTTCCTGTCCTCTGCAATGACAGGTAACTACATTCATACAATAATCTCACTGCAAAGCAACTCATAAACCTTTGATCCGCTTTGCGGCTTGATTTCCTCACTGAGAAATTAGGGTGGAAAAGCTGTGGAGGAGTGGATTTAAACCTCAGTTGCAGAAGCCTAGCCAAGAAGTATGTGAGTTTCCAGGATATCTTGGGATTTGGGGTTTCCCCAGGAAGAAATGAGGGCATGGATACTGTACAGAAGGAAAGAACTCTTCAAACTGATACATGTTGCTAAGTGACGCCATCAACTGTGACCCACTAGAATATGGATTGCATCAGACCCAGATCTGGGATTCTGAATCCGAAGAACCTGCACTGTGGCTCGGTTGGAGAATCCTGCATAAAAAAACACCAAAACTAGGTTCACTCCCATCTGCAGTCAAGTGGCTTTGTCACCTGACCATGGATGTGTCACTTAATATCTCTGGGCTTCAGTTTCCTCACTGTAGAATGGGGAAAGGCAAGGGCGTTTATCTTAAAAGTCTAAGGCCCTCTCCAGCTCTATCAACAGATGTTTCTGGTCTGTGGACTTAATTCCTGCCCCGCTGGCTTGTTTGGGAAGGGCGACAGCATGACCACTCTGAACACACAGCTGATCTCGGTCTGCAGAGCTGTCCGACCACGCTGCCTCCGCTGTGGCCGCCGCCGCCACACCTCCAGCACACCTATTTTAAGAACACCGCCTAGTGGTTCTTGGGGAAACGTTGCCATGCCAACTCGCTGCCTGTTGCTAATCATAATCTATGAATGCGCAGTACAGCCATCTGACAAGCAATTCTTCCCTTCCTTAGCCTAGGGACTTTTCCCAAATTGTCATAAGACGGATCACTTTGTTCATAATGGCACACAGTAGGTGTATAATAAATATACATTATATCAATGACATGAACAAAGTGTAAGCACAACACTGACTTGTGAGTCTGCAACGTGCTTTCCCATCCTGTCTATCCATGAATGCGGACAGCAGGTGCAGAGGAAGGTATTTTATTACCCCCATTTGCCAGGTGAGTAAACTGAGAAGGGGACGTTGCTTTCCGTGGTCTGGGAACTAATAAGTTGCAGAACCTGGACTGCAGCCTAGTTATTGTTTTTAAACCCTAATTCTCTTTCTCCTGTATCAGATGGTATCTGCCATCTCTCCAGATGAAAGTCAAATAACACCAGCCCTGTATATTTACTCAGAACTTAAGAGTTTACAAAGTGCTTTTCCTCCCATATTTCCATTTTATTCCATTTCTAAAGGTAAAATGAGAGGTAGGGCTCTGCTGGGAGTCTACCCCTGGCCTCTAAGGGTCTCCTGTGTGTAGTGGGATGGACTGTTCACCCCAAGGGTGCTTCATGGCCCAGAAGTGGCTCAGAGTTCTCCCTTGGGGACTCTGGAAGGACAGAGGTAACAGAAGCAGTGTAAGTGGGCAGAAAAACCAGTGGTGAGTGATGGTCTAGGACCCGGGACAAGCATGCCACCTGGGACTGGCAGAGCAGAAGGTGGGGTCCAGATGCAGAGGAAACACCTCCAGCAACAGACAGGCCTGGAAGGTAAAGCCAGGGCCCCTGGAAAACCCACTCGGGAAGGCACATACTGAGCACTTACCAACTGATCATTGCCCAGTGGGAAATCCCATCCCACAAGGACAGCCGTTTGGTCTGTTTTACTCTCTCCTGTAACTCCAGGGACTATTAGTGGTGCCTGGCACTTAGTGGTGATCTGTCAATGCTTGTTGGTTGAATAAAAGAGTGAAGCCTGGTGGGTGACAATCCTCAGTGGGAAGCTGGAAACCACATTTTTCCTCATCCCCCCCCCTTTTTTTTGAAATATATGGAAGCAATGCCATCCTTTTTTTAACCTAGGAGGCAGGTTTCTGCTTGGGAAGGGGAGGAAGGGAACCAAACTTTATTGAGCATCTACTATGTGCCAGCAGCTTACATTTCTCAATTCCCTTTGCACTGTCAAGGACAGTGATATTTCCCCCCTGTGACAATAGAAGAGTTTGCAGATCAGAGAGGGGACTGACTTGTCTGGGGCCTCTCAGCAGGTAAAACGCCGAGAGTGGGTTTTGATATCAGCCTCGTGAACTCTGCAGCCAGGTTGTCCCCACGATATCATGCCCGTGCTGGGTGCTGCTCTGCAGGGAAGGGGACTTGGAGTCCTTGGATGTAGCCGCACTTGTTAGAAAGTAGCATTTACAAAGCCCCTGCTGGGTGCCACGCCCTCCACTGGATGCTTTATCTTTCCTGCCTTAGTTGATCCTCAGAACAGCCCTGTGGGAGGAAGCATGGTCCTTCTTTCCATTTTGCAGATGAGGACACAGACCCCCACACTCTGAGCTGGCTGACTTGGACTGTGCTGTTACTAACGCCCCTTCACATCCCATCTTCGTTTTATAGTCAACGCACATCCTCTTCTGTCCTCCTGAGAATGCCGTGAGGCTGCTGGGGAGGTACCATCTCTCCCATTTTCCTTCTAAAGAGGAAGCTTTACTCAGATGGTTAGGGACTTTGCCCAGGTTCCTGGGACAGGCAGGTGACAGAGTTGAAAACAGAATGAGGTGTCATGAGGCCCCATCCAGGCCCCTCCTGGATGACAGCAGCTGTGTCACGATCTCCTCTTGTTGAGCAGAGCAGGTGTCAGTGTCAACGAGTCACAGCCCCGGGAGGCTAGGCAGGGTCCACTCACCAGTGGAGGAGAAGACCTTATGGACTGGGTGCCCTGAGGCCACCGGGCAGGGGTGCCTGCCAGTGGGGGGAGGGAGCAGGCCTCACTCAGCTCTCGCTGCGGCCAGAGAGGCCTGATGTTGCCAGATCCACTGATTCTCCAAGAGAAGCCAGAAACTCAGATGGTTATAAGAAATCTGTGGGCTTCTAAATGTCACTTGCTAATTCCAGTATGAAGAAATATAACGTACGCATTTGTATAACCATGTTTGTAGCGGCATTGTTCACGATAGCCCAAATGTGAAGCAACCCAAATGCCCACTGATGGGTGAATGGGCAACAAAATGTGGTCGGTCCATACAATGGAAAATTGCTGAGCCTCAGAAAGGAAGGAGACTCTGACACATGCTACAATGTGGATGAGTCTTGAAGGACATTACACTAAATGAAATAAACCAGTAACAAATACTGTGTGATTCCACTTATATGAGGTCCCTAGAGTCATCAAATTCATAGAGACGGAAAGTAGAACAGTGGTTGCCAGGTGCTGGGGGAGGGGGACAGAGCGTTAGTTTTAACAGGGACAGAGTTTCAGCTTGGGAAGATGGAAAAGTCCTGGAGATGGATGGGGGTGAGGGCTGCACAACAGTGTGAATGCGCTTAATGCCACTGAACTGTGCACTTAAAAAGCGCTAAGATGGTGAGTTTTATGTAATGTGAATTTTACCAAAGTTAAAAAAAAAAAAAAAAGGATGTAAACCAAACAAGATACATTTGTGGGCCGGACCTGGCCGAAGGGCCACCCGTGTGCCCACTGGGGACTAGAAACTCATGAAGGTCTGTCGCATGGCTTGTGGGCTCGTTTGCCACTCACCCCTCACTGACCATGGCCGCACTGAGGTCCCAGATGTCCATGGCCAACTCCATCCACAAGCGTGCCTTCCCACTGTCAACATCTGTCACACAGCAGCAACGCCAGAAACAGCTCCAGGTACTGAGGTTTTACCATGTGACAGCTCACTTTTAACTGTGCCTTCCTGGGGATGCTTAGATTTCAGATGTCCCTGTTAGTCCCCTGGCTGCCCAAGCAAGATGGCCTCACAGTCCTGCAATTTACAGGGAAATGTCAGACGGATCAAACCCCCTTGGTCCGAGCACAGCAACTGGGCCATGGTGCTCTTTAACTGCCTGGAGAAAGGAACTGAAATAGCGCTGCCGTGCTTGGGGCACTTTGGGGTGCTGTGGTTATTTGGGAGGCAATTCACAGAGACAAGTTGCCTGAGGTGATATATGTCTAGAAGAGAAGAGCTCTCCACTTACTCTGGAAGCAAGGAGGCTGGCTTGAGACCTTCCCACCTGGCCAGAGCCTGCCACTCATTGGGAACCCAGCAAATGGAGAGTACAATGTGAGGCGTGATTCAGGGAAGGGCTGCAGACTCTGGCATCAGAGCTGGGAAGGATACTGGAAGACGTATGGGCACACCCATTTCACAGATGAGGAACTGAGGCATCAAAATCACCAGCATGTTAGAGGCAGAGTTGGGTCTCTGGGTGCCCTGACAGAGTCTTCTCCCCCAGACTAGGGGTGCTTGACCACTTGGGAGTCCCATTCTCATTTGAGAATCTGATGAAATCCATGGCCCTGCTGCCTAGGAAAGTGCTTATGTGCACACAATTTTTTGCAGAGGTTAGAACCTCCACCTTGGACCAAGCTTCTGCAGAAGATCTCTCCTATCTAGATGACTACTAAGATTTTTTACAAACCCTTGTCCTGCCATGTGCCCCACATCACTCATCCTGGGTGGAAACTATGTGGAACTGTCAATGCAATGAGTCCTTCCAGCAGAGTGTGCTCCTGAGTAACTGTGGGTGGTTAGCAAATTGAATGAGAAGAGATGGAATCACGTTTTACAAGCACAGCAAGGCCCTTGGCATGCGGGAAGCATCTCACAGTGTTCAGGGCACTTTCCAAATTATGAGCTCATTTGGTCATCAGAGCAAAACTGTCAAGTAGGCATTGGGACCCACAAACAGGTGAAAAAGAGTACATTCACAGAAAGTAAGTTGTGCAAAGTGACTCAGAGCCAGCCAGGTCCTGGGAACTCCATACCCAGGTTCCTGCCACCACCCCATGCCAATAAATGTGGGCTCTTACAATCAACGGCCATTTCTTTGGTCCCTCAGTTGGCATCATACAAAGTGGAAATGACCCCTGTGAATGAGTTGAGATAGGACAGTGGTCGTTAGGCTGTGACTCGGCTCTCTGAAAGGGACTGCAAATCGTGGGGCCTCCTCTGCTCGTTAGTCATCCGTTAAGAGCAATATACTTATTCTCCAGCTTGATGTTTCTGCCTCTGTGCTGTCTTCTTCCCTGCAACAACAAAAGCACAGAGATGAGTTCTGAATGGGAATATACCAACCAGCGTGGCTTCTACATGAGGCCGTCCATATGCACAGCCCTTAAGTCATTGGAGGCCCACTTTAAACTCTATATGTGGTGGCATATATCATGGGATATCGGTTATACAATTCATCAGCTGCTCTCCCTAGAAAAGAATATTAGCTTTGATTTCATAGATAATTCCCTCTTTATCTGGGGTGTTTATGAACCCTTGAAATAACATGGTAATTTTATGTGACTAAGTATCTGTGCACAATTGTGCACAGAGAGTTTCTAGCTTTCAGGAGCCTCTCAAAAGGACCAATGGCCAAAGGAAGGTTAAGAAGATTCATGTGGAACAATAAAAGAGCCCAAATGGCCAAAGCAATCCTAAGAAAAAAAAAATAAAGCCAGAGGCCTAACATTATCTGACTTCAAATTATACTACAAAGCTATAGTAACCCAAACAGCATGGTACTGACATAAAAATAGGTGCTCAGAACAACAACAGAATACAGAACCAAGAAATCAACGCACATACTTACAGTCAACTGATCTTTGACAAAGGCAACAAGAACATACATTGGAGAAAAGACAGCCTCTTCAATAAATGGTGCTGGGAAAACTGGACATCCATATGTAGAAGAATGAAACTAGGCCTGTACCTCTTGCCACCAAAATGAACTCAAAGTGGATTCAAGACTTAAATATAAGATCTGAAACTATGAAACTCCTAAAAGAAAACACAGGAAACACTTCAGGAAGTAGGGCTGGGCAAAGACTTTATGAGTATGACTCTAAAAGCACAGGCAACAAAAGGAAAAATAAACAAATGGGATTATATCAAACTAAAAAGTTTCTGCACAGCAAAAGAAACAATTAACAGAGCAAAAAGGCAAACTACAGGGTGGGAGAAAATATTTGCAAACTATGCACCCAACAAAGGATTAATATACAGAATATACAAGGAACTCAAAGAATTTAAAAGTAAAAAAAACAAATAACCAGGTTTTAAAATGGGCAAATGAGCTGAATAGGCATTTGTCAAAAGAAGACATACAAATGGCCAAAAGAAACATGAAAATGCTCATCATCACTCAGCATCAAGGAAATGTAAATCAAAATCACATTAAGATATGACCTCACCCCAGTTAGACTGGCTATTATCAAAAAGACAGAATTACAATGCTGGTGAGGATGCACAGAGAGGGGAACGCTCCTAGACTGTTGGTGAAACTGTAAATTAGTAGTGCAAGTATGTAAAATGGTATGGAGGTTCCTCAAACAACTACAGATAGAACTGCCATACAATCCAGCAATCCCACTGCTGGGTATATACCCAAAGGAGGGGAAACCATCATATCGAAGGGATACCTGCACTCCCATGTTTATCGCAGCTCTACTTACAGTAGCCAGGAGTTGGAACCAACCCAAACAGTCATTGTCAGATGACTGGATTAGGAAAATGTGGTTTATCTACACAATGGAATAGTACACAGCCATAAAAAAGAATGAAATACTGTCATTCACAGCAACATGGGTGAATTTAGAGAAGTTATGTTAAGTGAAATAAACCAGGCACAGAAAGAAACACTGCATGTCCTCACTAATAAGTGGCAACTAAAAAATAAACAAATACATTTAAAGAGAGAAAGATACAACAATCACAATAATACGTGAACTGTCAAAAGGACAAGAACAGAACTGAGGTTACCAGTGGTGGGGGCTGGGTAAGGGAGGAATTGGTAAAGGGCCACAAAAAACTATTACATCGTATAAGGCTGAATATGCTAATTATCCTGATTTGAGCATCACATACTACACACAGGTATCGATATTCAACTCTGTACCCTGCAGATATATACAATCAGCAATGTTTCAAAAATAAATAGATAGATAGATAGCTAATAAATAAATAAAAAGAAGGTTAAGATGAACTGATCTGAAGGAGGGAAACTGAAGTTCTCAGGGATGTCTTCATTCATCTTTTCAACAAAAAGTTACTGGGTACCTGCTATGTGTCAGGCTCAGTGCTAAGCAGCAGAGCTATGGTGCTTGCCCTTCTGTGTTTACAGCATGGTTGAGGAGACAGAGGGTAATGCAGGAATCACAAAACAAATGTACGTCCAGTCCAGCGTAACTGTGAAGGAGGAGATGCGTGCAGGGGGCCAGGAAGGAACAGTGGAGGCGGGGACAGCAGGAGGGTGTGTCAGGGGAGGAGCTTTCCACACCCCTGAGCAAGGCTCTGCAGGGAGAGAGAGGGAGCAGGAGAAGCCAGGGGTGCTGAGGCAGGAGATGAGGCTGGGAGAGTCAGCAGCATGACCTGTGCTGGCGTGGAGGGACGTTGCAGGGGGAGCGGGCGTGGGAATCCAGTGCAGTCCTGGGATGTGGTAAGGGCTCAATTAATGATTTTGAAAGGATGAAAGGAAAGAAGGAAATGAAGGGGGTGGTGAGAGTAAGACTGCTTGGAGACGGCGATATTTGAGCAGAGTCTGGGAGATGAACAGCTTTGTGGGCAGAGGAAACAGTTTGGGCAGAAGCCAAGAGGAGCGAGAGAATACAACCAGGAGGGGCTCACAAGGCGTGAGTGGCAGAGGGGGTCTGGAGAGCTTGGTTTGCCAAGGAGAGCCTTCCTGGATGCTGCCAGGTCAATAAGTGTATCTGGGCAATGTGACAGCTTACATGGGAACCCCAGAAAAATGAAAACCCCGTCAGAGAGCAGCATTGTTTTGCAGTTCCACAGTTGCCCGCATAGCTGATTTCACTAGGCCAGGCTTTGCTGTAATGCTGAGGGGCTCCAGAGCTGGACAATTGTGGCTGCATCAGTCCTAAAGATGTTGGTGAGGACGCCAACCACAGCATCACCCCGTATGCCCCAATCTTGGAGTAAAGTCAGATTTCACTGGCTTAGGTTGTTTGTGTACGTTTTTAGTCTGCTTTTCAAAATGTATTTTTATATATCTATCTGTACACTGCTTCACAAGCTTTTCTGGGACTGAATAAGCAAGACAAAAATAAACACAATGCAAAAGCTCAAAACTCACAGAACCATTGGTACCCAAACTTCACTATACATCAGAGTCGCTTGTAGAGCTTTATAAAAATTATATTCCTAGGCTCAATCCCAGATTTGTGGAATCAGTGTCCATGAGGTAGACCTCAGAAACCTGTGTGTTTCATGACTTCCATGCTCATGCATTAAGCTTGAGAATGCTTACACATTAAGCTCATGCATTATACACCTGGCATCTGGGTTCCACTGCATCAGATGATGCTCCAGTCTAAAGACAAAGCAGGTGGGTGATATCAAACATAAGAAATCACCATTCCTTGCCTACTTCATGCATGAGGGCATGAGGTTGATGCCCAAATCATTGTATTGATCTTGCATTCACTAAGAAATTAATGTAACAACTGTTCCAGAATTAATGAACACCATAAGATCACCTCCAAAACTCATCTGGGACACCACAGATGATAATTCCTGATAAAGTTACATTTAATAAATTGCCACAATTACAATGATGCATCCTGAGAGATGGTCAGCAAATGCAAAAAATAAAAGAAAATCACTTTGAGGGGATTACATGTAAAAGGGATTCTAGAAAGAACTTTAAAATAAGAATGCTCACAATATTCACATATATGTACTATAAGTGAAAAACAAAGTAACTGATATAAGAACTCTAAAGCAGTCAAACAGTAGACTAGACACAGATGAAGAGAAATTTTGTGAACTGAAAGATAGACCTGAGGAAATCACCCAGAATTGGGAGGAGGGGTTGCTCTAGATTGACTGGTTAGTAAAGGCCTTCCTGAGCAGCTGACATTTGAGTTGACACCCAAATGACAAGAAAGATCCAGCTACAGAAAGAAATGGCACCAAGGGTCCTCAGCATCAGGAGAAGTGCAAAGGCCCTAAGGTGGGAACCAGCTTGGCAGGAACAGGTTGGAATGTTTGAAGATGAGAAAGCAGTGGCTCCACTACATGAGAAGGTGCCGTGGAGGAGAGGAGAGCTCTGTGTGGAATCAGCAGGTGGATGTCAGCTCAGAAAGTGGTGGTGAACAGGAGGCATGTTTCAGCTGGGGGTAAAGAAGGTTTTTTAACAAGGAGAGCTGACCATTCACTCACTCATCTGCTGTTTGTCAACGACCTGCTATGTGCCAGACACTGTGTTCAAGGCTATGGGGAATATCGAGATGAATAAAACCCAAATACCTTTGTTCTCAAGGGCCTCATGGTTGAATGAGTAGAACAGACAGGAAAACAAAGTCAGAAAGAAAGAAATTCTGGCTTAACCGAAATAACCGTGGGTTGTGGAGAATCAGAGAAAGGAGTCACTAAGGGCGTCTGACTGAGATATCAGATGGGCTTGGAGCGGGCAGTGAGCTCACCACACTGAGAGGTGGGATATGACAGAGGAACCTGCATGTGCAGGAACATCTAACCGGTGGACTCTGTGATGTGACAATTCTGAAAATCCACGGCGGGCACTCAAATGCCCTGGGGAGATGGGGACAGCCAGGTTGCAGCTCTCTTCATAGTCCAACGTTGCAAGCAAATGTGTAAGCAGATGCTGGAGGAGATTCCAGGCAGGGAGACGACCACACAGCCAGGAGGGGGAAACCCTGGGGTATCAGAAAATGAGGACAAAAATGGGGACACTAGTCCATGCCCCACTTAGCTCCAGACCTTTGTGAAGACAAGAGCCCCTGGTTGAAAGAACGCAGGCTGATGGGAGACAGTGACACAGACTTGACTGCCCTCGACACTATTTGCTCAACCCCAGGGTTGTGCAGCCTTCAGTGGGGTGTAGAGAGGATGGGAAGGTCATACTCGGGGCCACTTTGTCACCGCGCCTTCTCTCACTCTGATCTGTAAATCAAAGCAGAGCCGACCTGACCTATCTCACAGATTACAAATGCCTGGAAAGTACAGAACCGGGTTACCTGCTCTTTCTCTCTCCTGCACTGCCATCCCCAGCCCAGCC